AAACATAAACAGATAAACATAAATACTGTTAAACAAAATCTCTTAGACATCAACACATCAGTACTGACCTTGCATCAGCCGCCACATTAGGACGTAGCCGCTAGCTTGCTAAGCCGCTAGCTTGCTAAGCCGCTAGCTTGCTAACAATCAGCTGTCCAGCCTAATAACCTCATTCACACATTATATAACATTTAGCTTCTTTTTGTAACAAACACCATCGCAGCAGCTGAGCTGACACCTCGCTGCAGCGTAACAAGACGCAGAACATTCAATATGAACATGCGCTGCGAGCCAACTCACCAGGAGATCATTCGTAGTGCTACATGACCTCTCTCTCTCTAACAACACATAAACATCAGCTTCAACTGCAAATGTTTCGTAAACTTATCGACAGCGACTTGTGTTAAATGTATCCAAGTTTCCAGCTCGCAGAGGGCACGAGAACAGCACATGCCTCCTCAGATCCACGGAAATCCTGGAGCTGGACTAGCCGCACTGTGGTGCGTTCAATGACTGCCAAATGATCAGAAATCTCAAACTTTGGAAAATAACCTGGTTACATGTACACACGAGAACAGACGTGTTGGCACATTTACAGAAAACTACTCAGTTCCCAGCCGTCTTGCTGTCTTCTGTAGTATAAACCATAAATCGTGTAATTCCACCATAAAAGCTGTAACTTCTCTCAGACTTGGCAGTGCAGCCACACAGTCATGTTAAAAGTTCACAGAAATTGGCCCTCTGCAGCAGTGATGGTCATTATGGAGATAAAAAGCCGTCTATTGTCCTTGACCACACTGAGACTTATTATGGTCTCTATTCTTGGAGGAGAAAGTGCCACTTGCAGAGTGTGAGTGCCCGGATTCAATGGTGTCAGTCATTTGCAAGTGAAAAGGTGATATATCAAGGAGGATAATGGCCGGGCTTAAAGGAGAGGAGGGAGAGCAGCGAGACTGAGCATGATGAACCGTATAATTAGCCTCTCGCCCGCATGTGTGTGTGTCTGTGCAATTCCTTTACTTTTGCACTGTGTGAACAAGACCAACGTGGAATGAATTACACACACATTCTGCTGCCAACACAACGCTGAGAAATAACTGCAAACACAAAGTATCCAAAGAGCCTGTACACAGCAAACATGCAGCTCAGTATCACACACACAGACTTTGTGCATACAATAGGAAACAACGTGCTCCGCTCAGGAGAGAGGACACCGACAGACTGAATGGTCTGTTGTGGTGAAGACAGCGCCACCATCAGCAGTCTGAACAATACATACAAGCAGGGACTGAGCACCACGTGTTGACTCTACTGTCTGAACGTCACAGCAGAAATCATGTTTCCATCCTGTTGTTCAGTTTCAGTGAGCCTGTGTGAATTTTAGCTCTTAGCTGACAGGAGAGGCGCCCGGTGCAGTCTTCAGCTGCTGGAGCCCTTCTGTTCAAAACCTCATGCATCCCTCGTTTGTAAGAAGTTACTGTTGGCAGTCTGGCTATTCTCCTCTGACCTTTGGCATCACCGACAAGGCATTTTCTCCCCGCTGGATATTTTCTCTTTTCCGACCATTCTCAATAAATCTACACGGCAACAAACCAACAAACACGGGACATTCAGAGCTGCTTAAATGTCAGCAGATCTCAAACATGTCTGCCTAAAGGGACGAGGTCCACCTGTCCACAGAAAAGTCTGATCAAAACCAAGTGAAGCTGGCTGACTTATAATGTTGAAGTGTACGTAACAGCAGTGTGTGCAGGTCAGAGAGCCGTACCTGATCTGGGAAGTTCTTCGTTTGCACATTTCCAGGTTGTCTGGAAACTAAAACAGACACAAGAAGTGAATCATGTTGACATAAACTGAAGATTAAAACACATTTTGGGGGCGATTCCAATCATCAGCTCAAGTTCAGAGGCAGTAAAGTAAATCGGTTGCAGAACTAGTTCAAGACGTGACTCTGATCCTGGGACTGGTTCTGTATCAGTTAACGTCTCGTCTAAATCCACGCCGAATTTTATTTAAAGTGTCGTGTTTATAATTTAATGCAGCAAAAAACTAAGTATAACAAATTACAGTTTACATACACGGTAAATAGTTCTTTTATCAGTTAGCAAAAGAATAATAAAAGTCCCACACTCATCCATCACGAGTTGTTGCCCCCTGCTGGCCACTGAAAAGAATGCAGTTTAAAGCGCTCCTTCAGAGCCAGTTATATCTATATTTGTGGCGTCTACACTCCAGACACAGACTTTCAAAGTGACCACACTTCTGATTGGGTCCTTGAGCTCCAACATGGGAGTGAACAGAAGATACCATCATTTCACTGGAGCATGTTTTGCTTGCACAGATGCGAGCGATTCTAAATCTGCCCTGGCTTCAATCCCTCCCTTTCACTTCATATTTATCCTAATTATGGTTCTGATTTTGCACGAGAGGCTTTAACATCAAGCCGCTTGATGGTTTTTGATGACCCAACAATTAATCAAGGAGATAATGTGCAATCAGTCAGAATTAAAATAATCAGCAAGTTCCAGGCCTTTGTTTAGACACTAAAACACAAATATTCCCACCCCCAGATCATCCTCATTGCTATATATTTTATGTGCTCATGTATTTATGCCCTGCGTGTCCTCTGTTGTATTTTTAATGGGTGCCTGAGGCAGATACCGAACAATAAAGCGCAGTGAAATCCAGCGGGACACCTGGGTGTTTGTGGCCGTGTTTAACAGCTCTATAAAATGTCGATGAAAACA